TAGGTGGTTGGATTTGAAGAAAGAGGAGAGGAGAGAAGAAAACAAGGTTGGGAGAAGTTCGACATGGATCCGGGTAGGACCGAATCTGCGCGGATTCACGGAAACTAGCATAAATTTTTCCACAGAGGAATTGTAATGTAAGGTTTGCGCCATTGGAAAGCTAACTTCCAGGGCTTCAATTTGGACACTTGAATGGCCACCATTGGACTTCCCAATCACCGCGGCCACCTTTCTTTCCAGCTTAGAACCATTTTTTGTTCTGAAAAGTAGCAGGCTGGCCAGAAAATCTAACAGGGCCGGCCACCTATTTGGTGAATGGCCTTTTGCCCTTTTGAACTGGCCGGCCATGATCCTTGTCCAAGTGCATTCCAAACCATGTTATTTTGTTTTGCACTTTCACCCATGTCCGAGGGTTTGGCCTTTTGGGGGGAAACTTAAATTTGAAAATTTCCCACCTTTTCTCACTCCTTTGCCTATAAAAACCAGCCCCTCCTCTTTAGTTTTAAGGGTTAGAAATTTTGGTTTGGAGCTCCTACATTGTATCCTCTCTCTCTTACACTCCAAACCCTTCAAAAACTTCCCCAACCCTTACACCATTTCTACACCACCACCTAGCACCTTGCCACCCCACCATCCATTCCAGCCACTTGGAGCTTGTTTTCAGCAGCTAAGGAGCACCAACTATTCTCCCTTCTTTTGATCAGAGAAACCTGCTGGAGCTTTGTTCTTGAAGAGGTTCTACAAGGGTAAGTTCCTTGCTTTAAGCCAGACGTCTACTGAATGGAGAGTTGGAACCTTCGAAAATACTGAACATGTCACCTAACGAGTTAAAGGTATCATCTTTATTGTTGGTTCTTCCTGGAATTGGTTTTCTCCTGCATTTCAGTTGTGATTAATATTATTATTTTTTGCCAAGGAATCAATTTAATAACAAAAAAAGAATGGGTAATCAAAGAAAGCACAAAGCACCACCCTTAGGGCACACAAAGACACAGCCACAACAAGCCACAAACTCCTCACCACAAGGAAACTAGGCAACTAGCCTAGAATGAAGCTAGCCAAAGTGGCACAGCCAAAACAGCGTTATAGGTTAAAACTTCAGTAAAATTTTTTGTTTATCCCTAGCAAGCTGGAGTCTCCAAATCTTCTCTTTAAGCTTCTTTCAGTTTTCACTTGGTGATGATGATGGTCATATAGGCTATCCATATTCCCCTTAACTCCATTTAAAGGAATTGATTCAACAAAGATTTCAGAAGCACCATTGCCTACACTTTCATCAACCTCATTCACATCTTTACAATGGGTAGCATACACGGATGGATCACATTATTCTCCATTTTACATGTGCTACCTTCAAAGGATGCATTATGTGTATTGCCATATCAGGCGTCATATACCTCTGGTGAAAGTTCTATGCCTCTATAAATTTTTGAAGAGTTGGTGGCTCAGGACATTGTTCATGTTTGTGATGTTTTTTTTTTTTTAGCAAGTAATATTTGTAATTTTAATATCCGGAGTGCAGCCTTTTGTTTAATGATATAGTTGTATCTACTTTGTTTTGGTGTAAACTATTTTACGAAAGAACTCTGCATGTCATGCGTGATGTTTTATCCTTGATACAATGATCTCAAGCCTAGAAAAAGGAGGAGAGGGGGGAGGGGGGTGGGGGTTTGTGTTAGGTTGACAGCTAATGCAAAACTTAAATATCAGATGACACCTCAATAGCTAAAGAGTAGCATTGTCATTTTGGGCAAGGAATTATCCAAATTAGTTGGTGGCACATGCAATGTGTGTGCAATTCAAATAAGTAAGAATAAAAACAAATAATAAAGAAATTAATATTATAATATGTATGTTGCCTATTTATCAAAAAAAAAAATATTATAATATGTGGGTGTTTGGGAAGTGGGTTTTTATGTAGGTTTTTTTAGTTGTAGGATATTATTGGAGAATTTTTTTTTGTGTTTGGGAAGATAGTTGGGTTTTTTGTGATTGGATGTGATGTTTGTGAGAGAAAAAGTGAAATGATTATGGGGTTAGATGTGATATTTTGTTTGGATTTGTTTTTTTTGGTTTTGCAAAAAGTTTGTCTTTTAGTGGAAAAAATCAAAAAGAAATCCCACACCCAAGTTCCCAAACACCACCTATGTATGTTGCTTAACTGGTAAAAGTCTTCTTAATGAAACCCCTTGGTCTTAGGTTCGAACCTTGTTTACTTCTTTGTATAACTTTTTTATTTTAGGATAGAAAAATCTACCATGTGGCATGAGGAGAAGCAAAAGCTTCAAGACACCAACTGAGGCTACGAAGCACTGGCACTTCAAAACAAGTGCCGTATTCGTGTCGTACACAGACACTTCGGGGACACACCAAATGGCATATCCCCTTATTTAATTAATTTATTTTCAGGGACACGCCAGGGACAATCCAGGGACATCGGGAACACACTAGGGACATGTCAAGTTGTCTTTTCTCTCATTTTATTTAGTACTTTTGATGAATGTTGAATGTTTATTATTTTTTTCTTAGATTTAAATACGTAATAGATCATCCATAAAAAAAGATATAAATTGTAAGTGTTAATTTAAAAGTGTTCTTTTATAAAAAAAAATATAGAATTAGAGTTAGTTTTTGTTAATATTGATTGTTTGTGGATGTAATATTAATCTAGATAGCAAATAAAAATATATGAAAACATATTTTATTGTCGTGTCCTCGACCCGTGTCCGTGTCCATGTCCCCATTTTTTTGAAATCGCCGTGTCCCCGTGTCCATGTCCATGTCCGTGTTTCTTAGACTAAGTCCTTTTCGTAATACAATAGTATAGATGTTGTTTCTAACAAACACAAATACCATCCTCTTCTGTATCTTATGATTGAAATGAACTCAAAAGTTACTTTTTATCTACTAGGATATGTTTTGCCATTGGTGGATGTGGAACACTTCCAATAGTAACTCTTTGCGTGTTTGCTCTCTCATACTATTTTGGATCAAGTTCCCTTTGGGTTGATTGACTAAACTTTTGATTGAAGCCTTTGGTTTAGATAATGGAGCTGATTGGATGCATTTTCCTATTTACTATGAGAATAATTTTCTCTTGTTTTATATAAGAATAAAAACTGATTGAGTTTTGCTTCCTTACAATGAAGGGCAAGAGTTTCTGTTTTTTTGTTTTATTTTAAATACTAATCTTATGAGTTGAAAAATTCATTTCATGTTCTCATGGTATTTTCATTTTCTTGGGGACTTCATGGGGATCCTTTCATTTTTGGTTGGTGTGGTGCTTTTGTAATGTTTATTTTTGTGACTTCTGTTCTACTATCTTCTTGGTTTGTATGAACTATAGTGTGATTCTTTGCATCAAGAAGAATTTTAAAAAGAAGACCTATGCAGCCTATTTTGGGTAGGGCCACAACTTGGGCAAGTTGGGTTGAGCTAGGGAGGGGTTTGCCCAGGCCCAACCCAAGCTTTACCAGAGCCATTAGCAAGCCATGGCCTGTCCAAGCTTCACCCCGAGGTAGTTGAGCCCAATCCCAGCCCAAACTGCGATTTACAAATTCAGGCTTTGATTGGGTTGCCCAATGGCCTAGAGCCCCAACCACCCCCACATTCTATGATATTTTTATGCTGTTATTGAGTTTAAGAACATAAAAAATTGCTCTGCCAAGTTGGAATCCAAGTTACATTTCATTCAAATACATACTAAACATGACAACTTAAAGTAGACAAATGTGTTGTCTGGAAGGTTCACATTGTGCATCTGCACACGCACGCGCACACATACAGGATTGCGTGTATATTTGAAATATACGAGGGAGGGAGGGAGGTTTTGTAGAGGTAAGTGAAAGACTGGAGCTTTTGATATCTTTTTATGGATGAAGTGGTCATTTTTACCTTTTCTAATAGAATGGGTGTCCTGTACATTTTAAAAAGAGCTGTATTGGCATAAAACCACTTTAAAGTACAAGTTTGGAGCTTTGTGAATTGTCATTGTACATGTTGAACATGTTAAAATTTTATGAAGACAAATGAAGGTGCCTGCTTGCCAAGTTGGTAAAATCTCTCAGTGGTCAAGTTGGGTTTTATGCTTGGGCAAGTCTTTATTTTTAGTATTTTTTTGGGGGTTGGGGGGTGGGGAAGCTGAAAGAAAGATCTTTCAAGTTGCAATAATTTATTTATTTTTACTTCCAGGAGGGATTAACTGCTGAGGAAATAGCAAGCAAGGAGCCTGAAGAGTCAGAGCGCATGCAGGTATGATTTTGCCGCTTCAATCTGGTCTTATTCTTCAGTACATTAAAGAAATATATGTAGCATTTTGACATGAAGAAAGGGTTTTGTGACGCTGCAACTCCCTAAAATAGAGATGCAGGGACCATACTAAACATGGTTAGAAGCTTAGCATCCTAAAATAGAGATGCAGGGACCATGACTAAACATGGTTAGAAGCTTAGCATCGTGTGATTACAGATAAGAGATTGGGCCCCTTCACAAAGATATGATGATATAGCACACCTTGCCTTTCACTTTCGGAGTACTCTGCTCCATGTATGCCATTATAGAAGCAGTGACATAATGAGAAAATAACGAGCTTTCCCGTTGCGTTTTAAGTTTTTTTGTATAGTTGAAAAACATAATGAAAAAAGTAATAACTAAACTAACTTTATACGACCAAAAGATGTAATGCCCTTGTTCCTTTTCCCTATTTGGACACTGCAAGTATGCCTCAGTTGGACACAGAGTGTCATTTGCTGATAGGAATTCAACATATCCTTAATTAAGTACAGTCCTTAATATCATAAATATTCTGTTACGTTATTTGTGGTCAGCTACTTGTTTGACTCTTGTAACAGATGACTGATGCTCGTTGCAAAAGATGCTCAGAGAAAAAAGTGGGTCTAATAGACATCATACAAGCTGGACTTGGAGACCGTTATCAGGTTCCTGTCATTCATGCATTAATGTCGAATTTGATTGTGCAATCGATTCTTTATGAACTTAATCATTGAAAAGGTTTTTTTTACTATTGTAGTCCCTACTGGTAACAATTAGCATAATGGCAGAATATGGAACTCAACAATTATCAAGAGTTAATGAATATATAATATACATCAAACATCCTATTTTACTGCCAATTAATCTAATTGTAGTCTAATGATGTATAGTTAAGAAAAGCTCAAAACTCTAGAACTGTATTGAGGAATTCCATTTCTTTTAGTTGCCATTGACTATCTTTTGTTTTTTTTTTCTGGTCTTGGGGTTATAGTTGGAGTGTATTGCTTGTGGTAATACCTGGTATGCTTCTAGAGACGAGGCATCTACACTGACAATAGACGGGCCTAGTTCTGCCAGGAGTGTAGGCACTGCACCATGGGCCACTGCCAAGTTCGAAGATGTCGAGAAGAAGTTGGTGAGTCCCAGGGAATCCGAGAAGTCAACTAGTGATGTTTTCAAAAAGACAACTGAAGCTTACATGCCGGTCTTGGACACCCAGAAATCATTTAACAAGCCTAGTAGAACTGAAGACAATACTACAATAACTAAAGATGCTGAGTAGCTCTAGGCGCGCTGATTCTGCAGTTTTTTGAGTCGTTACTTCCTCAGGGTTTCTTTATGTGTACAGGTAAATTGTATTATGTGCTTGTACATATCTAGCTAGCGTAAAGATGTTTTAACCATGCGAGTGCACCTTGTTGAAATGGAGTGAGCTTAAAGTGGAAAAATTGGAACTGTTTAGTTTAGTGGGTGATACATAATTACCAAATATAGTTTTATCATGACCATTTGTGGGCTCGTGTCGTGATACCTTATAGAGTTCTATTAAGAGCATTTTTGGGCTCCCGTAGCTGCATACTTGAAATTTTAGCTTCATGCATTCATCATGGCATATATTTAAATATTTTAACTCTTAATTAAATTAGACAAATTTTTTAGGAAATTTTTTTGTGCTGGTGGATCAAACGAAGAGGAAAAATTTAGACAAAATTTCGAACGAATTTTTTCCCCTTTTCGTGTGCAGACACATCCTTCATATGAGTCAGATGTATTTGTCGTGGTGTAGTTGGTTATCACGTCAGCCTTACACCCTGAAGGTCTCCAGTTCAAACACGAGTGATGCCGTAGTTGGTTATCACGTCAGCCTTACACCCTGAAGGTCTCCAGTTCAAACACGAGTGATGCCAACTTGATGAACTCAATAAAAATTAACTTGTTGAACTCAATAAAAATTGGTTGTAAGTTGGTCTGGCCATGCGGTCATAAAATAAATAAATATATATATATATTTATCGCATGCCAGTAAAACCATTGCTCAGCTATGCTCACCAACACTCGAATCAGGGAGAAATCTACGAGTAAAATAGACGGATGACAGAAGGAGATCAGAAATCATGGGAGTTGCATGAAGAGGGGCTAGGGTTTTTTGATATGGGGGAGAGAAGGTAGGTGGAATGCTTGAGAGATGAGAGGGTGGAGCACAAATTAGGGTTGAGTATAGTTCTGATTGATATAAATTGGCTTAAAATCATAATTAATTCGTTATTTACGGTTTTAAAAAAATTAGAACATTTCAACATGTTTAAATTGTTGAACCAATCCGAACCTTTCATTTAAATATGGATTGAATCGGTTTAAGATTACGGATTCACATAATTAAATAACAATATATATATATATATATATACATATATATAGAATATTTTAATTTCATAAAAATATAAACATAGTATCATATTAGTTTTACAATAGCAAAATGTCTTTCTATGATATTGAAATACTGTTTTGGAATCTATACCACCACAAGAAAGCTGGTTCTACCATAAGTATTTAAATCATTATAAATTAAAACTAAAAATCAACAAACAAAAGCAATAAAAGAAGATACTATGTAGGTTTAGGTTTTGGGTTTTATATGAAATAAGAGAAGATACTATGCAGAAGGGTATACAATATAAATATAAACTATGTATATACGGTCCGGATCAGTTCTAATCCAGCACTGTGGGGTTCAATCCGGAACTGATATGAATTTTTAATTTTTCAATTCAAAATCGAATCACGGATTCAAAAAATCAATCAAAATCTACTGGATTGGACTAAACCGGATCGGATCACGAATTTCACGGATTTCTTGCTCAGCCTTAGCACAAATTGCAAATGCTTGTATTCTGATGGACTAATTCTATATGCACCAATTAATGCACTAACTAGTGTACTCATTGATGATGTGACATAATTTAAGATATTTTTAGTATTTGTAATTTACATAATAAGTGAAATCAATAATAATATTATAACTAGTGTTGGTATATTAATTAGTACACTAATTGATGCATGTTATATCACTCATTCTGATGAGATGAGATTTTGACTTGATAGTATGTAATCTGAGCATTCAATCAAGAAGGATCACGTAAGGCAAGACCGTAACTAAGCACATGTGGTCGGTTCAGTTCATGTGCGTTTTTGTTGGCTAAACTCAGACACTCGACGGAGCAACCGAAATTTACAGATTGACAAAATCGCTCAACCGTTCAAAAAAGCATGATTTTGACTGTATCATGTCAGGTATTGGGCTCATGAACAACCCTAATGGAGATAAAAATTCATAAAGTTTACACACTTTAATCTCGAAATTTGAACTTCTAACTACTCATATGAGATTGATTTAGAGATGCTATTGAATTACAAGTCCATAGCCTAGAAGTAATGGTTGGGGCTCAGCTCAAGCAATTGCTTGAATTAAGTTGGAGCCATTTATGAAACTTGATTTTCTTTTTAAAAAATACACACATATATATATATATACACACACATTAGATGTGACAACATACACAATGCATGTATATATAATTATTTTGTTTAAAAAAAACAAGATTATAAATTGTATAATTGAATTTGAAATCTGAAAATTGAAATGAATTTGAAAGGAAAAAAAAAAAAAAAACACAGAAGTTGAGAGATTTGGATAAATAAAAGCAAAAAAACCCTGAATTTAAGGCTTAACTACTCACAACTCAAACAACAAAGGTGGTTTCATAAATTTGTGTTTTCAAAACGTATTTTTAATGAGTTTAGCAAAGAAATAATAATAAAATAAAACACGACTTTACAAAAATAAAATAAATATACAAGTGCTTGGAATTGAGAAATATGTTTTAAAAATACTAGTTTAGTAAAAGTGTCATACTTGGATGAAATTCAAGTCTCAACAGTAAAACTGCTTTTGTAAAAGAGTTGCGTTTATTCAAGGCTCTTGCTGGCACTTTAGTCCACTTCCTCCAAATACTTCGAGCAACGCTTGGGAATGATAATGAATTTTAAGTAATTTGAAATTTATAATAAATTGTTTATATAGTTTCAATATAATATACATAAATAAATAAAATATGGGGAAATTACCCATAGGTCCCATGAGAAACATGTGATCTCCATTTAATCCCATTACTTTTTCACTACACCCAAAAGTCCTTTCCTCTCTCTCTCTGCTTTTTGCTTCCCTTCCTCTCTCGTTTTTTTTTCTACATTTTTCTGTAAATTTTACAGTTTCATAACATGTTTTTTAATTTTTTTTTTCATAACATTTTTTTTTTCTGCTATACATTCTTTATAACATTTTTTCCGACGAAGAAGATGATATATTTTCCGACGAAGAAGATGAATGGATCTACTTAGATCTGATATAGATCTACTCAGATCTACATCAGATCTGAGTAGATCTACACAGATTTGGTTAGACTTCCGTCTTTCCCCTTCGATTTCTTTTTTTTTTCTCTCTCTGCTATACACTTCTGTTTTTCTGTTCTAATGGAGAAAATTTTCGAATTCTGAACAAGCAGTTTTCGAGTTTTAGTTATAGGCGGCGAAAACTGTAAAATTTTGCAGTTTCAAATTTTTTTTTGGTGCTGGAATGAATCATGGTTTAAAACTATAAAATTTTGCAGTTTTATAACATTCTTTAGAACTGTAAAATTTTACAGTTTCATAACATGTTTTTTAATTTTTTTTTTCCGGCAATATTCTAGACATTCCGGTGAGTCTCTGGCGACCGTTAAACGGAAGTCCGACGGTAGTAAGATGTGAACAATGTCTATAAATTAAAAAAAAAAAAAAGATTTTTTGGTAACAATTAAAAATGTGTTGGACTAATTGGTGCAAGTATTTTGTTTTGGGATTAGTTGGGTTTTGAACTTGTTACATGGGACTTATCAGTAAGTTCCCCATAAAATATTAACGTCAAATGCAGCCTATTAATTAATGGACTTAAAATATTGGGCTCAAATCTTGAAAAAATAAGGTTGGGTTGGGTTGGATTGGGCTGAAGTTGGGCTGGCCATTACCCACCTGCCCAACCCAAATCCATCCATAACTGGACTCTTCAAATTGCCTCCACGCACACACACACGCACTTTCTCTCCCTCTCTCTCTACATGCTCTCTTTCTAGCACATTCCCTCTCTCTCTCTCTCTGTTCTCACTCTTCAGTACTCAAATTCACCTTCCAAGGCAGACGGTGAGTAAACTGGTTCGATTGGTTCGTTAGAGTCGTCGGAGGAAGCAAGTAAATGAATTTTATGTATTGAATTGAAATAAAACAAGGTCATCGATGAGTTAGGGTTGATTCTCTCTCTATTTTTTTCTCTTTGTTCTCTCTCCTCCCTACTCAAATTCACCTTCTATGGCAGACGGTGAGGAAACTAGTTCAATTGGTTTGTCAGAGGAAGCAGGTTAATGAATTTTATGTATAGAATTGAATTTCGTGTTTTTGAATTGGGGGGTTTTTATGTGTTTTGTACTAGGGTTTATTTTGTTTTTTGTGAGAGAGACAAATCACACAATTGTTTGTTATGTCTGTTCTTTTTTCTATTTCTTGCATTTCTTGTTGAGATTCAACATCCTCTATAGTCTTTCACATAAATCTGGAAGACTTTAGAAAGTTGTAGAGAAATTCCGAAGATTATGGAACATTCGAGAAGAATCCAGAATATTAGAGAAATTTAGACAAATCTAAAAGGTTTTGGAAGGTTCTAAAGTATTCTAGAAAAATATAAAAAAAAAATCTCCATTATGTACTAAAATAATTTAGAGAATTTTAAAAATCTTAAAATATTGTAAAAGGCTAATGATAGTCTTTGGATCAAATTGATCCTAGCCATCTATTAAGGAGGCGAAAGAATATATACAGGGAAGATATATATAATTCGTTATCTCCTCTATATTAAATATACTCTTTTTTTTTTCAATCATATAACTAGAAGTGTAAAAATGACTCGCGATCCGTGGGTGACTCGAAACTCGCCTGCGACTCGGGCCCTGGTCTGAGCCCAACCTGGGACTCTAGGGCCTGGGTTGGGGCCATCATTTTGAAGTCTAACCTAAGGGCTTGCTCAAGATCCACTCAAAACTCGGTCTGCTTGGCCTGTCCGAGGCAGAGTGTCATTTTTGATAAAAAAGAATAAAATTTTGGTTTAAAAAATAGAAAAATATATAAAAAAAAATGTTTAGCCACCCAAACTTGAGCCCAAGCCCAGGTCAATCGGCCCAGCCAAAGCCCGAATACCCCTTAGGCTTGGACTTAGTTTGTTGGCCCGTGGTTCAGTCCGACCCAAATTTTGGTGGGGAGCTCGCGAGGCCCGACATGGGGCTGGCCCAAGCTCGGGCCCAGGTGGGTTGGGCCGGGCCAGGCCGGACGGGCCAAATGTACACCCCTACATATAAGTATTAAAGAGAAAGAAAAAAAAATATGAAAGCTTACGACATATGAGTGTTTCAACATATGCTATCCTTTTATCCAGACCCAACAACCCTCCAGGCTCACCTAGCAGCGGCAACTGAAATTGTAATTAAT